TTTTTTTTTTTTTTTTGTGAAATTCATATAAATTTTCGGTGGTCAACTAGGTTTTTTGTTTCCTATTTAAGTAATTCTGTGTTATTTAGCGAAAATTTGTGTGATCTCTTGAGGTCAACGAGATTTTTTAATTTTAGAGATTAGTTTTGCTGTTTTTAATCTGATCTAGATATTTGATGTGTTAAATTTGAAAGAAAATAAAGAAGAAAGAAATTGATTGATTTTTTGTGTTTGCTGATGTCACAAAAATGTTATGGAAGGAAATTAAATGAAATTTAAAATTTGGTGATATTTGTAGTACCAGACTCTGTGATTCTGTGTTCGTGTGTTTTTCAAATTAATTGTATGGTGATTTAAACTGGTGGCATGAGCATGATAAGCAAATTAGTTTTTTGGAATTGAGAATAACAGTTTTGGTGCTGTTCTTGGATTCAGTAGGTGGAGAACTACATTAGGCTGTAAATAGATAAGGAAGTGGCATTTCATCTGTGAATTATAAGTTTTTGTAAGGAAGAGGCATTTACAAGATGAGCATTTGCAGCAGCATGAGCATGTACAGGATGAATACCAACTGCAGTGCTGGGTAAATACACCTCCTGTGTACTCGCGCTGTTTAACTGCTTGCATTATCCTTGATTTTTTTTGCAATGTCTTCAAAGCATGTTCTTCTCTGGATATCCGTGTGTGTTTTTGTTATTATATATCATGGAAAATTTATTTTTATTAGTCTAAAAATCTCATTCACATTGAATACTACGACTCTGAAGTTGAGGTCTTGTACTTGATTTTCTTTTTCAGGGTTTGCCAATCAACTCCTCAGGGACAGTTTCTCTGAGACTTCGAGGAGGCAGGAGAGGTATTTGTCTTTACATTTCAACTTTTTTTGTTGAACTTGTCTATAGGGATTGGCCTAGGTAGACATGAGGATGGAAGCAAAGATCGTGAAGGCATTGGATAGTAGACGTAAAATGGTGCTGGGGATGAAACGAAAGCGAGCTGGATGTCATGCAGCACCTGTCTCGAGGATTTCAAGGACTGTTTTACCTCAGGCACAGTGGCCTGGCCTGAGTTTGTCAACCCAAAATGGAGGGAAGCGGAGGAAATTAGAGGGGAACAAACGGAGTGTTATGGGTGGTGGTTACCTTTCCAAAAGGTCTCTGCTGCATTGCTATTCAAGTTTTACGAATAGTGGTGTGCCCCAGCGAATAATGTTCTTTGAGAAAGGTGATTGGACTGATTTTCCTCATGAGGTCATTGCTTCAGCCAGGGAAGATCTTGATGCAAGGAAGCCAGCTATTGAGTTAGATGTTGATGGTCAACGTTTTGTGCTGGATTTCTTACATATGTTTCAATTGGACTTGAAAACTGGCTCGCAAAAGCCAATAGCTTGGATTGATGAAGCAGACAACTGTTTTTTCCCTGAAATTTTCACTGAGGATGATTCATTTCTGTGCTTTGAAAATGAACATGGAAAAGACCAACAATTCATGCCTGGGGAATTTTATAATCCCCCTGAGTTCAAGTTGCAACTTGAAATTGATGTAAGTGGAATCAATCCGCCTAATTTAAAGGAATGTAGTGGGGAGTCGAATTCTTTTGTGAAACATATTCAAGTTGCTCAGAAACCTGCTAGTGACCAAAATGATGTTGAGGTTGACAGTTGCAACAAGAAACCAGTGGCAAAACTTGATGAAGCTGTTCAGGAAATTCAGCAGATAAAAACAGATAGTGAGAAATTGGATTCACAAAAAGTTAGAAATATGTTCCTGGGGGGCATGAATCCGTGTGGTCAATTTGACACTCTAGAAGTATTCCGTTGCTCTAGCACTTCAATGGAAGCTCGTTTGGAGGTTTTTGAGAAGCAGATTGAGATTACTAGTAAGTATCGTGGAGGTGCAAATGTCCGATATGCTTGGCTCGCTTCCTCCAAAGGAGCACTGCCTGCTTTTTTGACATATGGGCTCTATGGATCTTCCACAAGTCCATCTACATATGGCATTGGTGTTCATCTTACTGCAGCAAACTGTTCTGGTACCAGGTGAGAGTTTATCGGCAATCTTTAACTAATAATATACTGTTACTGGTGCAAGTCTCCAATCTTATGTTATACAGGAGATTTTCTGTTAAATGAGAAAGGATCTCTCTATTCATTCTGGTAGTCTGAACTTCCATGGGAACTAGTTTTACTTGATTACCTTTTAGGTTCTCCTCTATTAAGTTGGGAGAGAATGTTGCATGCTGTGAAACTCCTGTTATAATTTCTCATATCTAGTACCTCTTTGCCTAACTGCATGTAACTTACTGGTTTGGTATTTTCTCATGGACCTTTTGGATCTTTGACCTGGGAAGTTTTATAAGCTGGTTGGCATTAGCCAGTGAAAAAATTATCATATCAATTTCTTCTTACCTTTATTATGTTATCATGGTTCACATACACCTTAAGTTATTTTATTATATTTTATTTTTGTTTCTTTAATAGTATGGTAAAAAGGGTATTCACTTTTTGGTTTGTTCTTAGTGCAAGTTATTGTGATGTTGACGAAAATGGTGTGCGGCACATGGTACTTTGCCGTGTAATAATGGGAAGCATGGAGCCTCTTTGCCCTGGAACTAAACAATTCCTTCCCAGTACTGCCGATTTTGATAGTGGAGTGGATAATCTTGAGAACCCAACGTATTATGTTGTTTGGAATATGAATATGAACACCCATATTTATCCAGAGTTCATTGTCAGTTTCAAGCTCTCTTCCAGTTATGAAGGTACTATATTTCTCCTTTAGAATGTGCTATTAATTTGATACATTTGTTTCCCATTCTTGTCTTTATCTAACGAATTGAAGGTGTATAGTTCTAGATTATACTCTATGCACTGATGGAACTTGGCGAGTAATTTTGATGGTTGGTAATCTACCAATTGAACTCATGGTCCAATCTCTATGGTGACAAAAGTTTATAAGTTATAATTTTATGCACCAAGGCTTCTTCCATCCTGCCTTGAATTTTCCTCTTTTTTTTTTATTTAAAAAAAAAAACACTCGAGGTCAATCGTGATTCCAGCAACTGGTTCAATGACTTTGTTGGCTGTGTCCTCTACAAATGCTGTATGGATATCATATGTTGTTTTCTTGAATCCTTCTTATATCAGTACTTGAGCCCTGGTAATTTTTTTTCCTTTTTTCCCACATGGCATTTGGTTGCAGGTGAGACTAATTGTTCTGTTTCAGGTGTGAACAAGTCTTTACATGGGCCTCAGGCTCATTTGAAGTTAGAGTCTCCTGCTGTTGATTTGGTGAGTGTTCCAAATATATTTGTGGCCTGATCACTTAGTTCTGCATGTCGTTAAAAGTGTTTATTACATGTTGTAATTTACCGGAATGTGGTGAATGAAAAATAGGGGTTGTTAGAACAGTTTAAACCACTGTGTGTGTGTGTGTGTGTGTGTGTTTTTGGCTGATTATTAAAAAATTGCATTTGCATTCCAAGGCTGTGATTTTGATGTATTGGAGTTACATCTGGAAATGGAAAAAATGAGGTAGGATTATAGATGATATATGAAAATTGTATATCATTTACGGGATTATTTTAGGAAGGAAAGGGATATCATTCTGACTATCTAAGAATTTTCTTGCTGTATTGCATTAATCCTCATGTTTCCTGTCCCAAGGCTGTTCAAGCATCCTTTGTGCCCAGGTCGTGTAACTTGTGTTCTTTGCCATGGTTTGTGATTTGACAATATTTCCTTCTATGGGTTTTACTTTTTCAACTTCTAACATTCTCTCTTTTTTTAAAAAAAATCATTTAGGTGAGTGTTAGTCCTAGAGCCACAAACTCAGGGGGTTCCCAGGAAAATGTTCCAAGTGCTGGATCAAGCACTTCAAGAATTCCTAAATCCCCTTGGTTACCGTTCCCTATGTTGTTTGCTGCAATTGCAGATAAAATTCCGCATAAGGATATGGAAGTAATTTCTCGTCATTATGAATTATTCAGGGTATGTTGAGCTACATATTTCTTTGTTAGTGTTTCTCATGGATTGAAAATTTTCCAGTATGTGATCTTTTTGGATAATTTGTTAGGTGAAGACCATAACGCGGGAAGATTTTGTCAAAAAGTTGAGATTAATGGTCGGAGATAGTTTGTTGAGGACGACAATAACAGCTCTTCAGTGCAAGGTATATGATATTTATATAGTACTTGGTTGGTTGGGGAAACCCTTAGTATGACATGGGCCCTATCAACTTGTATTTGTATGGTCTTCAGCGATTATGAGGTTCTTTGATCATTGATTTTAACACTAGGGTACTTTATAATGGTGACTTTGATTTTTCAAGATATATTGTTTGGGGCCTCATGGTATTATACTAGTAAAACAAATAAAGTTCTCTCATTTGATTTGAACAGACCTATTAACATGGTTTTTCTGCTTATTTGCAGATTCCAACTAAGCATGACTTGGAGGCAGTATCAAAACAGAATGTCGGAGGTTCTGGTGGTGGACTTTAAGTGCGCACTTTTCCTTCCTGCTTCAGCATCCACTGTGTCTCATGCAGTTAGATGATGTTTGCAGTGGCTTGAATGCCATATGCTTTTTGGTGGGACAATCTACGACCGCACATTGTGTAACTGCATGACTGCATGGAGCATCAGTTATCTTGTTCGTTTGTTTAAGATTTGGTAGACGTTTTAATAACAGTCAAGAAATTTCCTTGGAACTCGTTTGTTGTCTGGGTGGGTTTGTCCAAAGTTTGAAATAGTGTTATTTCAAAGAAATGTTATTCTACATGTTCTATATTCTTCCTTTGTACTTTTGCAAGGATGCTATTTCTAATGTTTATTTCAATATAAGAATGGATGATATTTTCTCAGTAAGCCAGGAGGCAATTGTCTATTTTCGGAAAAGGCTCCAAGACGCCTCTATTTCTTGTTGGCTTCAGGTTATTTATTATTTTACGAATTAGGATTAAAAATGGAGGAAATTGGAAGGAGAATTTGGTTTGAGGGGAGAGAAGTTTCGGTTATGTAATTTTACATGATGTTTGGCTGTCTGACATGAAATTCCTGTAATACAGTTGAGTTTCTTGTCTAGCTTAGTTTAAAACATCTTTTCTATGGTAGAGGCATGATAGGATTTTTTGAACTTGTGTTTTTAAAGTTCAAATTAAGGGTATATTTTTTTAATAAATTTGTATAAAAAAATATAGAATTAAATATTAATTTTTAAGTTAATATTATGTAGATAAATTTAATTAAATAGTTAATAAGTTAAATGGGGTTTTTTTTAGGACTATTAATCTGTGTCCTTAAAAACCCTTTGTAATATTTTTGTTACAGAAGTTGAAGTTCTGCAAAAGCTTTCTTAAGTAAGGACTTGAGATTTTTTTTTATATATATATAATTGATTTTTTAGCTTCTAAGGACTAGAATACAAGTTATACAGTAAAATTGTAGTTTTTGAAAGAGTTTCTGGCTAAACTTTTGGGTGATAGACTTTATTAGTCTTTAAATTTATTCATAATTATATTTCCTGTAAAATTGTAGTCCTGCAAAAGGCTTTATCCAAATAGTATTTTTACAAAGGTCAGCTTGGCCAATCAAGCTTTTAATTCACTCATATGCTGTTCTGAGTTTTTTCTCTTTTATTGCAATAGAGCATGATATGGTACCTGTCAAACGGAAATGCTGAAACATGGTAAAAGATCAAGATCCTTATCAGGAAATGCAGAAGACCTTATTTCTCTTAGGAGCATGAAGTCCGAAGTTCAATTCAGGTTCTCCCTCTATCTTTGGTCTCTCCAATGTGTAGAACATGAGTGAGAAAATTTTCAGAAGTAGGGTTTTTAAGATATTGCATGGATTCAAACTTTAAGGTGACGTTTATGAACAGATACATATTTTAAGTGCAAGTATTTTCAAATACATATTTTTAATACATGTTTCAATAAGAAAGTTTAGATTAAAAAGTGAAGTATATTTGCCTGGTGTATGTTCTAGGTAGATTTACAAATAGCTCGTGTTTTGGCTATAAGATCAAATGCCTTACAAGGCAGAGAATATACTGTAGCTAAAATAACTTGGCTAAAAGAATAATGGATCATACCCTGGAAGCTTGATGTCTGGTCAATCCCCATGATATCCTAGCCTTGTATGGAGGGTCTTATTACCTTTAAAAACAGATCAGAAATAACTGTCAAAAGAAGTAAAGGACATCTTTTCCTTCCTAGTCGAGGCAGAGGATGCTGCAAAAGTTATTGCCAACATTTCCATTTCGCGTGTTTTCATAACAATGTGCTTCAGAAAACATCAATTTGTTGAAGGAATGAGAATTGTTGAGAAAAATAAGATTAAGGTTCTTCTTTTCCTCATTTCAGAGAATTTTAGTTTGTGACTTCACAATAGTGATTCAATGTATTAGGAGGGTCTTCAAACTCAGTTCTGTTTTATGGTGCACCACACACCCAGTTCTTCTTTTCCTTATTTCAGAGAATTTAAGTCTCTGAACTTCTCAATAGTGATTCGATGTATTAGGGTCTTTTTCAAATCCAGTTCCGTTTTACCATATACAGAGAGATTTTACCTTTCCATTTTTATGGCTCGCTACACATCAATTTGGGTTGGATTTTAAATTAGTGTCCTCCGCTCTAATATGGCAATCTTTTACCTTCTCTGATTAATGACCTTTGAATGTTTCCAGTGTCATAAAATGAGGATGAAAGAAAGCTCACGATTGTTAATGGAACTATGTCATGATGAGCTCTTATATGATATGATGGATGAGTACTTGAAGGTTCTAATCTGAAAAACTAGACATTGGAGGGCGCTCAAAGATGCCTGAACCACACTTTTGGCAAGGTCAGCATCCCAACTCTTTAACTTAATGACAACCTCAGCATTTGAATACCCTAGGTAGATCATCTTGAATGTGCCTTCTTGCTTCCTCTTTTGCCGAATCCTCATCTACATTTAGAATGGTAAAGAATCTTAATTTTTGTCCATGGAGAATCATTGAGTACTGAATGTTTAATTCTATGATATAGGCCCCTAAGCTACCAAGAAAGCAAGTATTTGTCATGGCCTTGAACTTGAAATCTAAGTTTCTTGGCACTGCATCTAGGTATTGGAATGTCTATGCAGTTTCAAAATCTTTTTTTGAGTGCGATAATAGATGTGAGTATTTAAAACTCAATAAAAACAGTAAATCAAGTGACATAATGCAAAGAAATTGTATTGACAATTTTGACTGAAAGACATAACTCCATCCCTAGGGATGGCAATTTCCTCCGTGACGTGCGGAGCGTGCGGAGCTTTACAATATCCCCGTCACGAGGATGGAGATTCCAAGAATATTATTTCCTATGAGGCGGGAATGGAGGCATTTTTTTCTCATGAAATTTCGTAGGGAATTTCTTTCGCACCATGAGGAACCATGGAAATCCATATAAAATAAAAGAAAATATAAATTTATTTATATATTCAAATATCTTAACAATTAATTTTTACTTATTCAACCTAACTAGCTAACCAATTCTTTTTTTTTTTTTCAGTTTTTTCAAACCCAATTATATAATCCAATCCAATCCATAGGCTTCCTAAACTTAATTGCCCAGGTTCAACCCAATTTGCATTAGTAAGTAGTAACCGTAGAACTAGAAGGACTGCTACCTATAGATAGATTTCAGATCTACGAATTTGCAAACTACGATTCCTCCTTCTTTCCAAACTCCAGTCTCCTCTCCTTTGCGTAGACTGCACTGTAGCTCATTGGCTTTGTTTCTGTTCTTCAATCAGTCAATTCCCTTCAACCTATCATTCTCAGCAACCTTCGAAAGGTCGTGCCCATAGCTTTGTTTCTATCCTTCAATCTGATATAAAGAATTTTTTCTAAAATTTTGTTAACTTGGGGTATTTGTTTTTGTTTTAGGAAGTTATTTCCTCAACTTGAAATTATTGAACAAGCTTAGTTTAAGTTGTTGCTGCAGAGTTTGCCTTACTGGATTGGATGGATGCGTACACATGTGCCACTTACTACTCTTTTATGCCCATTTTCTTAATGGACTTATTACTAGACATATATGGTAGTAGTTTATGCATTTTTTTTTCTATAAACTTTGCTGAATTTAGACCTATGTGACAGTTGCAGTTTATGCCTCTTTTTTTATGAACCTTTTGCTGGACTTATATGGCAGTTTATGCCTTTTTTTCTTTATGAACTTGTTGCTCACTTGCTAGACCTGCTTGACATGTATATATTATCTGTGTATATTTAGTGCTTGTTTATCTTGTTTCAAATTTTTACTTTATATAATTATTTGAGCTAATTTTATTTAATGAATGTGAAAACTAATGGAGTCTAAGTAAACTCATATTGAACTTAATTTTGATTAACAAGTAGTAGAGCAGGTGATAGTTTTATTTAATGGAGACTTCGAATACACGTAAGGACCTACCATTCCTCATGGATATGGGAATGGAGGTTATTTTTTATCCTTTACCAAAAATCCCCATGGAAATCCCCGTACCCACTATTAGCAAGGATGAGGATAGAGAGGAGGTCCCTACCCCTGTGGGAACCTGTTGCCATCCATACCATCCTAGACATTATAGGCTTAGATAGAGATGTACTTTAGTAGCTATATATTTAACAGCTCTCATGAAATAAATAGGCAACTTGTAAATGGGTAGTGTTGGTGGAGATGGTGAGGAAACGGTTGCAGGAGCATTCCATGGCGTGGCTTGTTATCCCACAGCCTTTCATCAATGCAAGGGAATTTTGAGAGAGAAGCGAGATTGAGCTTGGGAATGTGAAGAGAATGACTCTGGGAGTTGAAATCCAATGCGCTGCAATCAGCAGGCCTTTCTTTCAGAGGGGAGTGTAGGATTAGTCATTTTACTTCCGAGTACAACTAGGACAGAGACAAGAGACTGAGGGCAAGAAATGGGCTTAAGATGAGCCGACGATACCAATTCATGAATTGGGTTTGGGCAACTACCTTATGCAAACTTAGGAAGTCCAATTCAGTCAGATACCAATCCAAAAAGGAGGCCCAAAGCTCAACCATGAGTGGAGAGAGAAACTCCGAGGGATCACTTCAAATTTGCAGAGTGCAGGCAGGCAGAGTACAATAGAGTCATGTTCACCTTCGGAATTGGGAGGGCAACAAGATTTATTAGTACAACTTATGAAAAAGAGAGTGGTCCATTTCTCTGTCATTCGAGAATCGAGCTTATGGCCCCCAAAAAAGGAAAAAAAAAATCGAGATTTGATATATGTGCACGAGTCAATGGAAAGTTCAAAGGTGTTTCTCGTAGAGATAAAATGTGTAAGCAAAAGTCCCGTCCATCTCCATGCATTGAAAGCCTCTATTATGAATGAATCCAGGATAAATCCATTCATTTCTTTCATTTTGAAACGGCAGAAAGTGCTTATCAGTCCCTAAACGTATCGTTTGTGAATTTTTTGTCTCTGAACTTTTTCTTTTTTTTTTTTTTTTTTTTGTTGAAAGATAAATCCTTGAACTACTTGATGATTCAATTAGTTAGAGGAACTATAAATGGCTGGGTTATGAATTTAGTTGGCACCTTGGGATTTTACTTATTGATGGAATTAAATAGAATATTTTTAGTTGATTTAGGGTTAGATTTGAAATATAACTTGATCAATTATCAACATACTAACATTTTAAATAGACAGGATTTTAAAGAAATCTTGATTTTTGTTTTTTGTTTTGTTTTTTTTTATATATATAATGAAGAAGAAAGCTTAAACTAGAGGTGCAGAAGATGAAAAGCTTTGAGGAAATGATTTATTTATTTATTTATTTTACAAGGAACACTTGAAGAAGATGAAGAGCAAATAATTACACTCATGACATTTTTTAAAATGTTTTTTGGGGACTTCCGCACCACATTAATACATTAGCTTCTAAATTCCAACTCATTAGATAAGGCCCACGATGGACTAGCACTGTTTAATTTGGATGGAAAAATGATGTCATCACACAAGAAAGGGCTGATTTGCCATACATTCACATACTTGACGGTTTAAGTTGCCTACAAGAAAAAAAAATATGTTGAGGGTCAAATCATCCACAACTAGAAAGTTTAAGGACATTATAAGCACATTTCACCTTTGGAAATTTTGCCTTCGATATTTTTTCGGGTTTTATGACTTAATCCGTACAATACAAGAGTTAAAAATAATATCAATGATTTGTTAGTTCGAATAAGAAAAATTTCATTTCTTTTAAATAAAATTTTAAATTTGACTATTATGAATAAAAAAATAAATATTGAAAGAATTTTCTCTTAGATGAGTTTAACACAATTTAATTTTGAATTAATTAAAATTTAATGTAATTAAGAGTTTAATATATAAAAAAAACAATGGTTAAAAATAATAATAATAAAATGAGCCCGTCTTGAGTGCCGGGCAGAGGAGGACATGACTGCCCTTGGAAAGGTTAAGCGAGGAAGGAATGGTCTCCATCACCTACCCCGCCTGCCCGTGGTGTTTGTGTAAAACGACAAACGCAATTACCGCTCAATACTGCTGCTGCTGCTGCTGCTGCATCTCATTGCTGCTAAGCCGCTGTTACGCTGACAGCGCTGTCAGCGAGGCGTCAATCATAAAGCAATGGATTGCAAAATGATTTACCTCGTGCCTCCCGTCCCCCCCAAACTTTTTTTTTATTAATTTTTTTCCTCTTTTATTGGGCTGTGACGGTGACCGTATGTGTTTTGACCGTATACCTTGACATGTCACTTCAATTGACACGTGTGAAAGAGGGATGAAATCATAGCATGTGTTTCTCAGTTTATCTATTTCTCCATAGTTCATACATCCCTTCTGTTCGTTCTTTCCTCTCTCTTTCTCTCTAAAAATAAAAACCCCTTGGCTCCCGCGAGATTCTCGCCTTATTATGCGTTCGTTTGTAAGAAAATTACGAAAGAATGGTTTTGAAATTTTGTTAGTTTTCAATTATTTTAAATTGTATAATTTTAATTATTGAATGAAGATAAACCTTTAATATTAAGACTCATATTCTTATTTAATAATTTTTATTTTATAAACATAATTAAAATAATAAAATAAAATTTTTTTATCATAATAAAAAATATTTTATAATTTAAATTATAAAATAAAATATTTTTATTATAATTGCAATGTTCGTCACCCAAATACCAAAGAAAGAAATAATGAAGTTAGGAAACTGTGTGCTTTCGAAAGTGAGAATGAAATTGGGTCTAACCTTTTGCTGTTTAGGTGAATGGTCATAAAAGAGAGATACAGTTGATACTCTAGCAAAGTTCTTGTTCGGGCAACCGCAACCAACAATGAGACTCATGATGTCACCGTTCTTTTGGAATCAAACTGATTGAATTTTTGTCTTGGAAAACATGAATGAGATATGACCTCTGTCCTTCTTCTCTTGCATCACAAGCTTCCACCTCTTTGTTGCAACCAATAGGAAATTGGGGAGAAGAGAAACAAAAAAAAAAAAAAAAACCTTTAGCTCATCTTTAATTCTCGGGTCACGGCACCAAACCTACAACTTTCTTCTTCCCTTCTTCAAATTGAGCTCCAAATTTCATTCATGATTTATATAACAATTCTTTGATGTCCTTGGCCTTCAAATTGGTTTTGAATGGCTAATTTTTTTAATTTAAAAATAATT